GTTTACATTTTCTAAGCAGTCTGGCTCACCTTGAATTTTATTCCTGTTTCCTAAGTTTTTTTCATCGTCATAGAATATGAGTATTCTATTAAGTGTCATAGAATGTATTCAGGTAGTCAACAAATATTTAGTGAACATTTCCTATATACCAGCCACTATCCTAGGACAGGACACCTCCATGGACACTGAGCTGACTGAGGCAGAGAAAAGTCCTGACCTTATGAAGCTTAAAGGTATTTTGCAAAAGTGATGTACATTTTTCTCTGAGTCGGGAATCAAGATGGTGACTAGAATGAGTGCCAGCCCAGCAGAGACTCCAGTAGAGGTCCCAGTAGGAGGGTACACACAGCAGATACTTGTTTGCTGACTGACTGAATCTAGGAACATATAATTGTTAGGGATAAAAAGAGAAGATGGGAGAGAAGAGAGATGGGGTGGGGGGATTCACCAGGAGCCATTTCCAGTTCTTCCTGGGAGCCAGTCACTCACTCAGTTATGGAAAAACCAGGAACATGTATTCCATAGTCAGTGGAAGAATGAGACTGAGCTTTGACCATGTGCTAGCTATTTTAATTAGAAGGACGAATATTGCAGTAAATGAGACAGATAATTCCTCCTTCATCACGCTTACTGTGCAACTAAACATTCTTTCTTGGTTCTCCCTGTGTCTTGATGAGATCAGAGCCTCTTACCTTAAATATCATCTCAGATGCTGGAAGGTCCATCCTGATCACAGGTTTTATTGAACATATTTTGGTGTATAAGAACATTTTAGGTACCTTTCTAAAACAACATTGTTGTTGTTTTAGAATGACAAGTTGACTATTCAAAGTTTTAAAATCCTGAATCTTAAAATTCATTTTTCAACTAAGCTAATAAATGAGCAACCAAGTACTTGATTAATCAATTTAACTTTAACTGACATAATATCACCCAGTCCATCTCAGACTATATTTATTTACATTAAATCAGGGTTTCTCAGCCTTGGCACCATTGACATTTGGGGCCAGATGATTCTTTGTTTTGAGAGGCTGTCGTGTACATTGTAGGATGCCTAGCACCATCCCTGGCTTCTACCTGCTAGATGCCAATAGCATTCCCCCCAACTGTGACAACCAAAAATGTGTCCAGGACTTACCAAATGTCCGCTAGGAGACAAATGGTCCCATTGTTGAGAAACACCGCATTACATGTATCTGCGCTTTCAAATAACGACACGGTGTTTTGTGTGATGCCTGGTCTGGTATTGAGTAACTTAAAAACAAGCTGCATGATGCTGCAAACAAGCTATGTGATGTTGGACAGGGCTGACCTGAGAGTCAGCTTCCGCATCTGAACAAAGGGGTGATTAGTCCCTCACCTGACATTGTGGTGAGGTTTAAAGGCTGACATGTATGTGTAAAGGACCTGGACAGTGTAGCTCAATGGCTGTGTCACATCTTATTTTTTGGCTAATAGAGTTGACCATTGCCAAAACTCTATGTGCTTGGAAAGTGTGTGTGTGTGTGTGTGTGTGTGTGTGTGTGTGTATGCACACACACATGAGCTACAGGTCAGGGCTGTATTGCTGAGAAAGAACTAACCCCTCTGTGGCTCATGAACTCCCTGGCAGAAAATGAACGGTGCAGAGCAACACTTAAGAGAACAAGCTTTGGAGTGAGACGCACCTGGATCCCACTCCTGGCTCCACCATCTACCGGTTTTGTGCTAATTCTGGTCAAATTGTGTAACATTCCAGCCTCAGTTTCCCTATCTGACAAACAAAGGTAATAACAGTACCCATCTCGTGGAGTCACCGTGTTGTGAAGATTAAATGAGATCATGAATGCAAAACAGCACCGTGCCTGTGGCCAAGTCAGGTTTGCTCAGTAACTATTAATTGTTGCTGCTGTTATTATTGGTGTTATTTCACCCTTGGGTGCATCCCTGGGGGTAACTTCAAAGCAGAGAGTGGCCTCTTTACAGGGGGCTCCGATCTTGCCAGAGTAGCTCAGTCAACAACTTCCCTAATGAGCTCAAGTCTCCATCAGGGAGACTCTTTGTTTTCCTAGTAACTCTCTGTCAACATGGCTTCCGTTCCCACATCAACATTATACACCAATTGCATATTCGCTAGCCTGCCCGGGACTCAAAACTATCAATTGCTACCATGGAGTAAATGGTATTCATTGTTAAAATAGGGTAAATGCCTATTTCCTTTGCACAATGGAAGAAACTGTTGTAAGCTATTAAGTAAATAACTATAAATAACACACTGTAAAATGCTTTACATATGCCTTATCGCCCTGAGCTGCAACACTCTGAAGTAGCTGTTATGGCTGGGTAAATTATACGTGTTTTTAAACACTGTGCAAAATACATATTTACACGTACTTAAAGTCCTACACTAAACAGTCTCTATAGCAACCAGGAAAACACAAAAGCCTTATTAAGCATTCTTTGTAGTATTTTTAAGAGTTTAATCATTAGGAGAAAGCTCATAGGCCATGTAGACACCAGGGAACACGAAGAAAGAAAGTCTTTATAGGAACAAAAGAATGAGGCTGGCTTTGAACCTGGTGGGAGAGGATTTTATTTTTTTAAGCTAATAATCACCAAGGGCCTTCTCTTTGTGAAGGCGATGCTATGTTTGGGGTACGTCAGACACAGTTTTGGAATTACAATCTGGTTTCTCTACGGAGAAGAGAGAATCTTCAATTAACATATTCCAGCAAAAGATCACTTTCAGTGTTTTCTCTTTAGTCCCAGCAAGAAAAGATTTCCTTGCCACTCAAAAATGAAGTCATATGTACTGTCTGTGTTCAGTCTGAGTCACATAACTAACTCTTCAAAGGGAAATTCTAATGGTTTCATTGGGGTGAAGCCACGTCCCATCAGTTGAGTACTGGATTTGTCTGTCCACGGCATGCGATGATAAGTGTACCCTAGAAGAGGCAGTGACCTAACACTGCAAAAGTTTCATGCTCGTGCTACACGTCCAGCGCTGGTCGGTGGAGTTTCTGCTCCGTGCTGTCACTCAGGGACCCTAGGGAACTCTATCCTCATGTGATGCCACCACTCAAACACTTCCTGCTGTAGCAGCAGAAGAGAGAGCTGGAAGGTGGCTTGAGGGCCTGTGAGAAGCACACCCCATTTCCACTCATACCCACTGGGCAGCGCTAAAATCATGGGATTCCAACCAACCTGCAACAAAGGCTGAAAAGATAGGGGAGCACATAAAATATTTATTGAATGCTAAATGTCTTTAGGAAGAATATCACTTAAATGTCCGAACTATGCCAGATACTTTATACTGCTTGGTCTTATCGTTAAAACAACTTTGCAACGTAAAAATTCCCCATTCACTGCCAGAGAAACAGGCTCAGAAATCTTAAATGGCTTGCTTGAGGTCCCTCAACCAGAAATTGGAAAAGTGAATTTAAGTTTAGATCAATCTAAAGCGGAATATGAGATACTCTGTGACCCAGCAGGTCAACTCCCATGTACTTTTTCAGAAATGCACACCTATGTTCACCAAAAGACATGTTCATAGAGGCACACCTTTTTAATAGCCCCAAACTGGAAGCAGCCCAACATCCACCAACAATGGAATAGACAAATCGATTGTGGTATATTAACACAATGGGATAATATATAGTACTGAGAATGAATGGTAGCTACATACAAACATGGATATATCTCACAAATATTACCTTGAATAAAAGAAGTCAGGTACAAAAGAGATCATACTGTGTGATTCCATACTGTATGATTCGAAAGCAAGCAAAATTCATAGAAGTCAGGATAATGATTACCTTGGAGTTTGGTAGTGATGGAGAGGGTAACAAGGACAGAGCTTCTGTTTTTCTTGTAATGTTCATTTATCTGGATGCTGCTTATATGGGGGGTGTTCAGTTTGTGTAAATTCATCTCTCTGTGTAGTGATACTTTTGCATATTGCTCTCTCTATGTTATACTTTAATAAAAAGCCTACTTGAAAAAAACAACTTGCAGAAGTATAAATTATAGGCTCCAATGAAACTGATGCCAGAGCCCTGTCTCTGACCATGTTGCATCCATTTCTTCCCCAACCACAGTAAAGCGAAGCTCATCCCCGCCCTTCAGGAGTCCAATTTGATACCTACCTGAGTCACACAGCCCATCCATTAAAATGGTTCCTTAGAATCGTGGTTTAGCTGGAAACTTTCAGCAAATTTGAGAGAGTTGTCCAAGTTAACTACAGTTCGCTCTAATGCTGACTTTGGTAATATGGTTTTCTTCCTTGAAATCAAATGTAAGCCTGGGATCTCCAGAGGCTGGAGGGAAAGGCAATGGAATCTGCTTGCTCCTCAGGCTAGAGGGATGGACATGGTCCAGTGTAGAGGAGAGAGTGAAATGTGTATTACAACAAACCCCAGACGAAGAAAATACAATCATGTCGATTGGGGCTGCGGATGTTCCCATCCATTTTATTTGGGCCATTTTAAAAATTCAAAAACCATTGTACCCAGCTAAAATGAACTCATAGCTGAAAGAGTGATCCCATTGTTTTTCTCTGCCCCTTCCCTATCCCCTGAACACAGCCAACACCCAAACAAAATTTGGTGGAGCCCTGACTGCCAAAAGACAATGCTGTCTTCAGGAAGGTATTAGTGGTAAATCCTCAAGCTGTTTTATAAGCACCTCCTAGGTTGGTAACAGAAGGCTAAACACAAAATTGCAAGATGAGCTTGAATTTAATTTTATAGTTTTCATCTGTCATCACGTTATGGCAGTATGGTGTTCTGGGCTTTACAGAAGGTGCAGGGCAGGGGTATATTACTCCTACTGGGAAGGGCTTCTCTCCCATCTGTTCCTGTTTTGGAAGAAATGCTTGTGGGATCATGGCTTCCAAAGAAAACTCCCTCTGGTGGGAGTTGCCAGAGGCCACCCTTAAGATGTGTTAAATGCTTAATCAGTGGCACTCTTTCTCTGCATACTTTGTTCGTTCATTTATTTATTCTGCACCTATTTTGTTTTAGGTGCTATGCATGGCCCATTAACAAAGAAGATGTACTTTCTGCCCTTGAGAAGCTTGTGATCCAGAACGAGAATAGACAAGTAAGTGAGAAATTTTAAAGAAATACCAAGGAATACTGTGAGTGGAGTTAAATAATGTGCTAGGCAGGCAAATAGGAGAAATGGCTACCAAGACTTGCAAAATGAGATCACTTCTCATTCTGGTAATGACTTCCAGTCTAAAACATGAAGAGTCCAGTGAAGCTGTACTGGATACACCCACGTACCAGTTGCTGTGCTAGGTTCTGGAAATATAAAGGTGGGTAGAGCCTGGTCTGAATAGTGAGGTAGAGTGTAGTCTGACAAGGGGTAAAGAAAATCAAATGGACTATTTCAGTAGGTTGATGAAAGTTCAATAGGGTGTTTGGGGCCAGCTTGGTGGAGATGATGTCTGAGGAGTTGATTCTGGACCAGTGAGTAGCAGCAGTTAGGGGAAAAAGCATGGAGGGAGAAAATACAGGATGTTCTAAGAGAGAGAACAACATAAGCAAGCATTAACAGTCATGAAACAGTGGACCATCAATGGGTACGTGTACATTTTAGTGTCACTGGAGTATAGCTTGAAGCTAGGGGCAGTCGAATCTGGGAAGTGTTCAATGTGGCAATTATGGTGAGCCGTGGTAATTTTGGTGAATCACCAACTGGTGGTGGGGGTGGTTTGATCACATGGTGCTTGATAAGGATCACCCTAATACCAGTCTGGTGAGAGGATGAAATCGGAAATCCACATTAGCTCGAGCGCCATCCCAGTGGTACCCGCAAGCTTACGCTTTCCTCTCTCCTTCAGTCTTCTGGGCTGTTAGAAACACAGCTCTAAACCCAGAGAATGACCACTGGGAACAGAACAACCTGTTACACTGTTTCCCCTGCAGACACACAGCCTTGGTCTGGATTTATCCAACTGCATTTAGGACTGATGATAGAATCATTGCTTTTTTTTATCCCCTCCATGACACAAACCAAGAAAAAAAATCATAATAAAATTTTACAAGTTAGTTGCTGCCAAGAATAAACAAGAGAGCACTATAAGAAATGAATCGGAGGCTCTAACTGAATCTCCTCTCAGGACAATAACTCTAATGTAAAGCCAGGGTCTGAGGAGGTCGTGGTGGGAAACTCTCCTGGGGCATTTCCGAAGAGAAAGGAGATATTCTCCTCCTGTCATTTCCACTTCAGGTCCTAATATGTCTGTGGGTGTGCAGAGAAAACATAATCTGCAGCCTCTGCTCTGAATCAAGGTTTGGATAACCAGGGCCATTAAGACATCCCCAAGGATCACAGAATTAACCCTCTGTGAACCCAGGGAAGCCACTGCCGCTAAAGCACCAGAAGAAAGTTGCTTGATTCTAATCGCAGCTGAGCCAAAATGTCACTTGCCATTAGGTTCGATTGGCATTTTTTTTTCCTTTTTAAATTACAAGATTACCTTTAAATTGTGTACAGGAGCTCATAACTGCTGTCCATTGGAGATACTCAGGAGTGATTTCATTTTACCCATGGACAGGCTGCCTCTTTTAGAGTCTTTGTTCATTAAGCCTCTGTCTATCTCAGGTTCCATTTAGGTATCAACGAGGAATAAATTCTGTAGCACAGAGGACGTTATATGTTTGCTTTTAGAGTCGCCTCCTTCGTTGGCTGATGATTCTTTACAGCAAGCTGGATTCTCCTGGAACCTGTCGTGTATATGTGGCAAATATGCATTCTCTGTGTCATCTGGGTGGTCTTTTTGACAGAGATTGCTGCCTTGGGCTGACCCCATGAACTCTCCAAAAAAAAACATCACTTGGAAAGACAGGTCTAAACCTCTAGTCATTCTTGGTTGCCTTCCATTGAAGCAGCTTTAGTATAACTGCTTATTGACAAAGTCAGAGGATTATCCATCCATTCATATACTCATTCATTCATTCATTTGTTTGACATAATCACTGTGCATCTATTTTGTGTAAGACATTGAGCCTGGCATTGGGTACACTGGTGAGCTGGGAGCTTACAGCATAGTGGTAAATGGACACAATTAAACAGGCTCTTGCATTAAAGTGTGTTAAGGGCTGTGAGATGGAGAGAATAGGAGGCCCAACCTAGGTGCATTTATTACAGGGTTGAGGGCACAGGCAAGGCTACTCAGAGAGATTTCCATCTGAGCTGGGTTGTGAAGGTTGAAAAGAGTTTCACTGGCTAAAGGAACAGCTCGTGCCAGGATCTATACATGAGAGAGAAGTTCAGAGAGGGTAAGAATGGAAAGCAGGTGTGCATGTACAAAGCAGGCAGAGCAGCAGGTCAGGTTGTTAAGGAAGGATGCAGATGGAGAAAGACAGGGCTCATGTCACAAGGAGTTTCGTAAGCCTGTTCATGAGCATGTGCTTTGCTGTCGGGGCAAAGGAGAAGAGAGGAGAGATGTGAATAGACATGTGTTGTGGAAACATCACTGTGGACCTTGTATGCACAGTAGATGACTGGTTCAGTGGGGATCTGATGGATTTGCAAACCTGATGAGACCTCATACACAGTATCCTTTTCCCCAGACACAACCTCTAACCAGCTGAATTCTTTGATCTTTTCCCCCAAGAACGTCCTCTGTGCTCCATTTATTTCATTTCTGTGTGTAATGGAAAAGAGTTTCAGTAAGAACCCATCTAAATAGGTTCACAGGCAAGAGTTGAAGGCATAACAAGAACGTTAACACCCACAGCCCAAGACCCTAGCCAGAGGCCCCTGGTAAGCAGAGGAAGTGTTAGGGTTCGCCATGGCAAAGTGATTGAAATGGCTGTATTGCCAGGTCCTCCTTCTCTGGTAGAAAGTGTTAAAATCCTGCCTTATGAGCTGTAAATCAGCATATGTTGGAGAGGACACTGGACTCGGAGTCTTAAGATCCAAGCTGAAGTTCAGTTATGTCACTTCATAGCTCAGATGACTTATAAGTCTTAGTAGTCCCATTACTTTTTCCATCTAAAAAATTAGTGTAACTCTTACAACCCAGCATGTTGGGGGCACTTGCTGACAAATGCATACCATATTGCAGATATGTATTGGATGAATGGAAATGAGATAGTATTGGAGAAGCCCCAAACTCTCCAGGCTCTAGTCTCCTTGTCTGTAAAATGAGATTGGGTTGGGTTAGATGCTTTTGAACTCTTTCTAGCTCAAATAATCTATAATTCCTTGACACTTGCCTACTTTGGAGGCTTGTACTGACCAATGTGCTAAATATAGGAAAAATTGGTTTGGTATCTGATAAAGCGAAAGGACAAATAAAAGGAATAAAAGATTTCTGAGAGAAGAAACCCTAGTGATTACTCTGGCCCGACTAAAACTGCTCCCCTCTCAAAAGCCAGGTGATGAGAAGAATGCTTATTTGCTGCTGTCACTGACTTTACTTGACTACTCTAGTGAACACTTGGTCTCAGAGGATGTAACTGATAGCAAATTTCATGTAAGACCACTTTGCACTGTAGAAAAAAAGCTGCTTTATCCTTTTATGTTTGTTATCTCATGGAACACTGTTGATGCACTGTTCATGCAAAAAACAAACAAACAAACAAACCTTCATGTTTCTTCTCGAGGAAGGCCTCAAAGAGAGGTGATTCTGAGCACAGAAAATCTGATATCTGATATTGAATAAATGTTCTTGCTGGCTTCTGAAAGGTGATTTGATTTGGAATTTAAACAGCTCTGGGAATTACCCCCTCTCTACAGCACCTTTGACGTATATGCGTTCTTTCCTAGCCATATTTTTAAAAATTTATTCTTTCTTATTAGGGAGACAGTGGCATTACTCAGTATTTAATGACTCAGCTGATTGGACTTTACTATAGTGATGTAGCTAAAAATAGCCACATGGGGAACTGTTCCAAAGATAGGATAATGGAAAGTTTTGGGGAACAGATATCTCATCTACTTAGGAATGACTTGAATATGCCCCAATCACAGTTGAAGTATCTCTTGGCCACAGTGGGGTATCTCCTATATTGTTGGGACCTGGGCCTGATGTTTTCTGTATTATACATATTTTATCTTTGGGTGCTTCAGGGAGGACTGACTGTGGTGTTGATCACATAGGACCATCCAGATTCCCATCCTAGAACACAACATTAGGGAATAAAGGTATAAATCAGCTACTTGAGATGGCGTGGAATGACTAGAGAACCACAGTTTCAGCATCTTTTTCTCTGGGAGTCTGGGATGACGGCTCTGTATGTTGCTTCCCCAGCGTGCCGCCACCTGGCACACAGTTTATTATAGTCTCTCCTTTGATGTTCATCTCTTAGCTTGGGCTTCACATTCCCAGGGCATAGAAACCTAGTTGCTTGTTCACTTCTACTGTACATTGTCTGGCACGTAGTAGGTACACAAAATAATTTCCAGTGAAGAGTAGAGATCTGTTAGTGTTGCATTTTAATTGCCTGTCTGCTTCACTCGATTGCAAGTTCCTTGAAATGGAGACTTCATTTTAAAAAAAATCTGTATTAGAAGAGTGCTGGCTGCTAGTCAGTACTTAATAATTATTTACTGAATGAGTGAGTGAGTGAATGAATACAGATTAACCAAAACAAAACAAAAGAAAACAACTTTAAAGGGAAGAAGGTGATCAGACTGGTTACCTAATACCTTAGCACTGAAAATCCACTGCCCAGAACAAACAAATTGTGCTAAAAATGGTTGTTAAATTAGTCCATCTGCTTCTTTATTCCGAATCATTAATCTGCTTGGTATGCATATTTTAAGAATTCTGGCACTAAAACCATTCCAGTATCTATACTTTAAAAAACAAAAAGAAAAGCTCTATTGAGATATAATTGACATACAATAAGCTGCACATTTAAAAAATGTATAATTTGATAAGTTTTGTTATATGTAGATGCTAGGGAAACCATTTCACAAGATAACGGATATATCCATTTACCCCTAAAAGTTTCCTTGTGTCGCTTTGTAATCACTCCTTCCCATTCACTAGGCAACCATGGATCTGCTTTCTGTCGCTATACATTAGTGTGTATTTTCTAGAATTTTATATAAATGGAATTATACAGTATGTTCTCATTTTT